CTTAAACGTCTTTGTCCGGCTTTTAATTAAAGAATTCTCTCGTAAAAAACACGCATCAGACGCGATGCTCTCTTCAGAGCGAGAAAAAACCACGAGATATGTATAGCTATTATCTTCAATTAAGCTACGCCAGCTTCTGTCAGAAATAAAAAAAAAAAAAAAAAAAAAAAAAAAAAAAACTGCAGGAACAAAATCAAATAAAGAGCAGTAAATTCTTGTGTCGTTTAACTGTCGAATGGCTATTGTCAGATTAATAGAAGTAAAAAAAGTCACTAAAAGTACGTATTGAATTATTATCGTGCGATCGTGTGTAACTACCACAGTGTGTTTGAAATAATTTTTCTGTATACAATGCATGCGCCGCATGCATATTATAATTCACACATTCAAACAACAAAGGGAAATTGATCGTGTTTGTTTTTCGCGAACAAAACTCTCTCTCTTTTTCTCTCAAGCTTTGCGAAACTTGCACGAAAAGTCGCGTGGTACGCGATTTATCGATTACGAGATTTATTTTTCATGCAAACTTACAGTCTCGGTTGTAGTCAACCGTCGTGTACTCTCCCTCTTGCTTCGATACGCATGTATTGTTCTGGAATTCCCAGCCAGTCGGACACCAACATACCCCAATCAGGCACTGTGGTCGCGGCGGTTCGTCTGTTGTGGTGGCATCGGACTCGGAGTAACACGTGTACCCATCGCCTGTAAATAATCGCATATGTGAATAACGAGCAGAAAACACTTTACAAATTGCGGTGCGGTCGTTGCGCGTTTCACGCGACGGGATCACTCGTCGTTGTAACACGCGACAAATAGCGGTTCACAAAATTCGTCGCCCAATTTAATTATCCCATTTACTAAAGTGCTTCTCTCCGAAAATTCGTATCAAAATTAAAAGTCGCAATGTATGTGCCGCATAATATCGTATGCGAAAGAAGATTGTTCGAATTACACAAGTAACCACGATACTAAAAACTTTTGAGAGATAAAACACACAAGTTAATTAAAAGTTAATTAACAAATGCGATCTCTTTTATAAATCGTATCAATATTTCTCATACATATGTCTCATGTATGAACATATAGTGCTGATAACTTGTAACAATTAAACTTACTTCTTGTTACATCTTATTTACAAAGCACTTGTTTATTTACATATTTGTGTTTTTCAAAACTTTTATACACTGTTTCACACAAAGTGTGTTTGATTTTTCCCTTCGTAAATATTATTAACAGTAGGCAAGAGAAATATCCTTGAGCGCGTTTTACTCACCGATATAACCAGACATGCAAACACACGCGTTCCTGTTCGTATTTGGGTTGAAACTGCACATACCGAATGGCGAACAGTTATCCTCCTCGTTGCAGGGTGCTGTGTAAAAATACACAGTTTTCAAACTTATCAGTAAAAAGTGTGTCACATGATTGACGGTCTTTTACACAAGGGTTTTTGTATCCTCGAAACGTACCTTGTTGAGAAGGATAACAACCCTGTTCCGTGTCCTCGAATCCGGGCATGCAGATGCACGTGGGTGCACCTCCGATCATCGCGCATTGCTCGTAATTTCCGCAGCGAGTATCTTCGCAAGACGGTAATCCTATCACGGACAAAAATTTGTCACAGAATCAGATGTAGTGCCAAATACTGTTGACAAATAGTTGATAGAATTGATGTAAATTTTAATTTACACTTAAATGTTCAACTCACACATTTTTGAATTTTGAATTTTTGTCAAGATTGAAAAATTAACAATTTTCAAACGTAGAGAATATTGCGCTAAAAATATTAACGGATGTTAAGACTATTTTCATCGCTATCAGCAGCAAAGACTTTATCGGCTTTGCGAGATGTGTTACCGTTACACGATAACTGCGACTGGTATTCAGACGTTAATTGTAGATGAAAAAATTTATATGTTGATGAAAAATGTAATAAATGCGCGCTCACTTTCACAGTATCGACCGTCTCCTGTAAAACCAGGTCTGCATTGGCACGTGTGACTGCCTTCTTGATTTATGCACTGAGCGTCCGGTGAACACATGTGATTACCGGCCGTGCACTCGTTCACATCCACGCAAATCGCACTGCCGTTCTCCTCGTACAGATACTGGTATCTTTCTCACAATAATGTAATAATGTAATATAAGCTTATAATTAACAATTATTTGCTACTCAATAATAAAGCATAACGCGTCTACATTTTAAAATCGAACGCGATTCAAAGATCGATTAAAAAATCATAAATTGATAAATAAAAAACTTTTTTGAAATCACAAACAAAAGTGTCGCGAAAACATTATTATTCGCATAATGTGATAAAGAAGCTTTTTCTGAATTATTGTTCTCTATGTGTAGAGAAACCCGTTACACAGAAACTAATTGAAACGGTAGAAAAAAAGAAAACGCACCGAAAAAATTATATTCTTGTAAGTAGAAGATTTTATACTTAAAAAAATCTTCTTAAAGATTTTAGATGATATTCTTCTGAAATTAAGAATATATTCTTTATTTAAGAATATATTCTTAAATTATATTATTATTTCTTAAATTAAGAATATATTATATTCTAAATTAAGAATATATTCTTTATTTAAGAATATATTCTTTATTTAAGAATATAGTCTTTTTCGATAGTGAGATATATATGTTTTTCCATAGAGGCTTTTTATATTCTAATCAGTATATATTCTTATCAATATTACTATTTAGAGGATTTTCCTCTTAAAATAAGAAACTCTTCTTGGCGCCTATCTTAGTATAAAATATACTTAAAGTAAGTGGGATATCCTCAAAACAAAAATACAATTTTTTCGGTGGCAGATATGCACCGTTACCTTCCATATGTTATTGATTGGACCGATATAAATACAGCAAGAATACACCGAAAAAATTATATTCTTATAAGTAGAAGATTTTATACTTAAAAAATCTTCTTAAAGATTTTAGATGATATTCTTCCGAAATTAAGAATATATTCTTTATTTAAGAATATAGTCTTTTTCGATAGTGAGATATATATGTTTTTTTATAGAGGCTTTTTATATCCTAATCAGTATATATTCTTATCAATATTACTATTGAGAGAATTTTTCTCTTAAAATAAGAAACTCTTCTTGGCGCCTATTTTAGTATAAAATATACTTAAAGTAAGTGGGATATCCTCAAAACAAGAATACAATTTTTTCGGTGCGGGAATGAGAAAGAAGCTAACGGCAGATACGCACCCTGCGTTGCACACACATCTGAAGCTATCTCCGTCAACCACGCAAGAACTGTGAGGACCGCAGCTCTCTCGTCCTTGAATACACGGATCTTCTTCCTCGAGAGGTGTTATCTTGGTGTTGACGGCAAATCGGATGATGCCTTCGGTGTTCTCGTAACTGGTAATGCCTCTGAAGAACTTCAATCTGGTCGTATCGTCGTCGGGATCGAAGATAGCGTACGGACACTCTTGATAACCGATCGTCTGATCGAGGGTGAAAACGATCTCCCTCTCGTCGTCACCTCCTCGCGTGATTTTGATCGTGTGCTCGCTTTGGGAGCGTATCATTCCCGGTTGGGCGCGAGTGTATAGCTCGTCGTAATCACCGTAATCCACTTTGGTGTCTCTCTCCAGATTCGGCACCGTACCCGTAATCTCCGCTTCCATCTTCAACTGACCGAAGACGTCCAATCCGAGATAATTGCTGCGTATCGTCACTACGTCGCCGGTCGACGGAAAGGACAGTTCCGTCGTGTGATTGAACACGCCGCCTATATCAAATGACTTTGCGTGAATATTTTTGCGTGGAACTGGAACTCTCAACGTCACACAATGTGATCATACACTAATGATTTTTTATATATATCTAAATTATAATCAAATTAAGATAGGTATAGTTTCGCAAACTTCGTAGAGATTGTACGTGAGCTTCTTGCCTGTGAGCTCGTATCCGTTTTCGGTGTCGCTAATAGGTTTCGCAAACAACCAGCCGATCACGCCGCCTAAATTTCCCAGAAGTTGGAAACTAGCGCCAATTTCTTCGGGTACCCTCGATAAAGCGGTGTACGTTCGCCCGTCTTTGGTTTGCACGTAGCACTGAAGATCTCTTGCGGGAAATTCCACGCCGTTGAGCGTGCCGGATATTTGGCCAATAACACGAAGAGGCACGTCTGAAGAGCAAATCGTTCAAAAAAAACAATTTTACAATCAATGTACAATACTTTTACGTCTTCGCTATTACGTTACGATTATTGAGTTATCGAGATCATATTTTATATGTGTAAAATATACTCTTTTCTTGTTCGTTTTTGCACACATCGATAACAAAACAAACATTGAGGGAACAAAACGCACAATTTCGATTTTCTGTACTTCTTAGAAAAAAAACAGTAGTGATTTTTTTTTCCAGAACGGAATTATTGACGAATGCAAGCGACGCGATCATCAAAGAGCCGCGCGATCCGGTTCGAGGTATTCATGTTCGCTCCGTCTTTATGATGTTACCATGGAAGTCGTAAGAATCAGTCTCGTAAACTATGAATAGATCAGAGAAACACGGGCAAGAAAGCGCAGCTACTTACTGCGCTGAATCTATTTGCCCTGCAACGACTTCTGCAGTACCTTTGTTCGCGTTAGACGGAGCGTCGCGCAGTAAGTTCAGAGGGAAAACGCGCTCTCTTAGAGATCCCTCCCTTCTTTATTCCGGTTTCGAGAACACTTCAAAGGTCGCGTTTGCATGCCATTAGCTCGAGCTTATCTTTCAATGAGTTTGCACGAGTTTTCGACAATTGCCTGCTGATAAATAGCCTTACCGTTTGGCTGGCAGGATTTCCCGTTGCCGAAATAACCCTGCTTGCAACTGCAGCAGAATCCGATCTCGTGATCGATGCACATTGCTTTGCTGTGGCAAGTGGTGGCGCCGGTTCTGCAGCTGGCCGCTTGATGCATGGTCATGGTGTCTAACGAGTGCATATAATTAATTCAATTAAGACCGTGTGTGTGTGTGTGTGTGTGTGTGGAAATAACGAATTAGTTTTGTGATTTTTCAATTACATTTGCGCAAAAAAACAGGAGGCAGAAACAATGTAAGAATGTTTTTTTCTTCTTTTAGTAAAGCAAATATTTTCGGACGATTTAAATGTGAGTACGATTAATTATATGTAAAATCACATTAAATCTATATTACCTTGAATATTGTCGGGTGTCTTGATATTTTCGCCTTCCTCAATCGGACCGACTTGGAACAGCCACTGGCCAGGCCTGTTTACATTCGACCACCTGAAAACAATTGCAAAGGCCGCCATAAATACGTCGCGCGCGAATACAACCGGCCACCACATCTTCGCGCTCTCCATTACTCACTTGTCGACATTCTGAATTTGGTCCGTGCCCGAACCCCTTAGGGTATACATTTTGCCCTCGCTCATGAATCCAGCCTGCGCCTTCGCGTCTGGAAGCCCGCTTGGATGCGATTCACCCTGAATCCACTGTATGCCATTTTCCGGATACAGAAGCTCGACAAAGGAGTGCGTGCCGTTGGATGATATAGCGACCTGATAAGTATTCACCTGAAAAACGAACTCGGTGACTGTTATTCAAATGTTCGAAGACGTTTGCTTGCGCGCGTTTGTCTCTCACATCTCTCCGTATCTTTTCTCTGACGATAGGGCGATAGAAATTAAAAAAAAAAAAAAAATGTTTTACTTCTAAATATCAATTATTGGAGATATTATCGAATTTTTTTATGACATGGTTTGTTCGAAAGAAAATAAGAAGCATATAATAATGTTTTTATTGACCGTGAAAATAACCTGCCTTGTCGTTTCGCTCGTTGTAATAGCCAACGTCCACCCAGGTGGCCAGAAAGACGTGCGTCGGCACGAAATCGATGGCGTCCTTAAATGCGCTTCGAACTAATCCTCCGGCTCTGGCAAGAATCTCGGGAGAATCGGTTTCGCTCCAATAAACTGTTCCCGAGGCTCTGGTGTCGACGTGCGTGTAGAGAGGCGAGATGACGGGATCGTCAAGAGGAAACGCAATATTGAAGAACCTTTGCATAGCTCTGGCAAAGGAGAGAACGCCATTTCCATTTACCTGAAATCGAGAAAACCGATTTTCTAGCTCCGACGTTCATTAATCGACACGAGCCGCATCGCCTCGATTTCAATTCCGCGTTTAATGAAAATTCCAAAATATTGGAAAATTCGATTTCTACGCGTACGTCTTCAGGGATTTTATTTATATAAGTAAGAGAATTTTTAGAAATATAAATTATTTTGATAGCAAAATTTATACACGGAGCGATTGACAAGTATCCGCAACGACACATAGATAGAGCGACATACGAATATTGTTGTTGACAAGTTTTGTTCATCAGAAAAACAAATGTCAAACGTTAGCTCGTTATTGCACGTAATTATTTAATTTCTCTCCTCTCTTTCTTTCTCTCTCATCTATCTTTGTACACATATTTCAGAATTAAACAAAAAGTTAAAAAAACAATTTGTGTTATCTCTCCTATCACCGCAGCGTCTACCGATTAATTATTTAACTGATGTCGCGTATATTTATGCCGCTTTAATTTTTTTTTTTTTTTCTCGCAAAGCTGAGCTTAAAAACGCACATTCGTCACGACGTTTTTTCGCGACGTGAATCTTGATGGCGGAGTGCGTCGACCTGAGTCGTCGCACCGGCGCGTTAAACTCCGAGAGTTGTGCACTCGCGTGCAGCCGGCACGCGACAGTAAATCAGATCCCGTCGGTGATGCGCACACGGATGGAAGGTCGGCCGGCGTCAGCGGGTCAGCAGGTAAATTGTCGGCACGTGCTGCCAGCGAAATTCAATGATGACAATTAGAGGGAGGGAGATCTCTCTCTCTCTCTGTGCGCCTTCCCCGCGCGTAGTCAGTCCTCTCTCCGCAAGTCTCGCGATATACACGCACGTTAATGAGCGACCGCCTGTGTCGTCGAGGAGTCATTCACCCAACGACGTGCGCTCATTATAACGTTGCCCGAGAAGACGACGCGGTCGCACTCGTGTAAACTCGCAAAAAGAATCGCGAAGATCTCGTCTCGAGAGTGCAAAAATAGCATCTTGGTAGAGAGTAACGAGAGATACAATATTTTTTGAAAGAATCATATTATATTACTGTGATTGTACACTTCGAGATAACATACAAATGTACAAGCTCTTTTATATATATATATATATATATATATATATATATATATAAAATTATTTATATAAATATATAGAATTAAACTATAAGCAAGAAACAATAACACGAGCGCTGAAAAGTATGCGCAAAATATATTTTACAACGTACATCATATAAATTTTAAATTCAAATTAAATTTGACTATAACTCTCTCAGACAGTTTGATTTGCTTCTTATATAATTTCTTAAAGAATCGAGTAAGTGAAACAGTCGTTGCGAAAAATACCTCCGCGGTCTCTGGAGTTGGAAACGAGACGAAAAAGAAACAAGCCGAGACACCGTTATGTCATCCCCACTGAGGTCGCGCCGACTCGTTTCGTCAATTGGCTAAAATGATGTGCGCCAAACGCGCGGTTCTTGCACTATATTCGACACGATGCACTCTCTTTGTGTGTGCAACGTCAAAACATCCAGCTGTTTCCCTTTTCTTTTGTTTTTTTTTTTTTTGTAGAAAAAAAATTCGTTCGTCATTAAGGAGACAAAATTAAATTTCTCCGAAACGATGGAACCGCTCGAAATGCGCTGGGAGGCAGAAATCGACTTGGTTCACACACAGTACTTTTCGTATTAATAACTTTGATATTACTCAACACTGTGAAATTAAGTAAACTTGACGTTACCATCGTGTTCTATTGTCTCTTGATTTTTTTTCCCGAATGAAATTAGCAAACGACTCGCACTCTAATTATTTCCACGCATAAAAAAAAAAATTCGCACAACTTTATTCTCTCTCCTACGTGGATAGTTTATTAAACAGTAAAATTATCTTTACATTTAAGCGAGAGAAATTATTTGTAACAATTATTATTCGCTCGATTAATATTTATGACAGAGAGATTTCAAATGTTCGTGTAACATCAATCTTCGTTTTCTCACGTTCTGATTCGTCGACGTTAATTCTTATGCGCCACTCAAAGTCCAAGCTGGAACATCCGATTGCTCAAATGACCTATATTGTTTTCACGTGAGGTTAATATCACGGGCGCCGCATCGAATTTAACGCGCATGTCGCACATCGTTAACGAGCGACCCGGTTCAAGAGAATTGACACGAATTAGGGCGACAAAGTAATAATCCCTTGTTGCGACACACCGTACTGACATTAGACTTGTTTCATGATTTTATTTCAGTCACTAATGCACACGGAAAGATGTCGTCAAAAAGATTGTGCGTTTATTAATATTTGTTTTAAGATTTATACTTTTGTCGCGGAAGTACCTTTCGAGAGATATATCTTTGCGTTTGTTTTCAAAGTGCACTAAAGGCCAACTGTCTAACTGTCATTAGATCGGAAACACGTGGAAGCTCTTTTTGTTTTTTTTTTTTCAATATGCAATCGATATTATACGAGCCGATAATCATTATCGGTCAACGAGGCGCCCGATAATCGATGCCTGGCCAATGTCAGGCCGGTATTGATAGTCTTGCCGAAGCTCGTCTAAACGTGCTCGGACGTTTTGACATTCGCGTAAGTCAAGCTAGTGGGAGAACCCGGGCCGTTATCACAGCCGAGGCTATCGCTACGGTCATAGGTCAGAATCGAGCCGATGACACGCACGCACACATATGTAATCGCGGTGAATAGAGAGAGAGAAAACGGGTGAAAATAGATAGCACCGCGTGGAAGTAATAGAAGAAATTTGAACTGCCTGCCCGAACTCTTTCTACCTAGTCGATAACGTTTTGATGTTCGGGCAACGTCGAGCACGCCAATGGAAATTTGAGATCGATTCCCACGCGCTGACTAATATTTCAGTTTCAAACGCGGAACTTTTTGAGGGAAACTTTTTTGATGACCTTTTCATCTTTCCCTCTCCCTCCCTCTCCGACGGAAATTATCTCGCAGATGTTTCTGGGATAATGTGCGCAAGAGTGCGTTACATTGCGTGTTCATCAAAGTTAGTGTTTTTTAATATCACGTACACTAACCAATAAGTAGAATTGAATTTAAACTTTTAATAATTGAATTTATAACTTTTATTTCAATTAAAAACTTCAATTATATATTATTAATTAAAATAGTGACAGTTATTTCGTCTGCGCATATATTCTAACTTTGTCAAAGAAAGAATTTATTGTTACATACATACGTGAAAGAGAGTCGTATAAAATTTTTAAACAATTACACAAAATTAAAAGTACTTTAAATTTGTTTTTAATTCATCATAACGATTTTTACAAGTGCCATATTAAATTTTTTCTACCATCTAGACGATCAATGTAACTCGCCTCATTCGTCACGCACACAAGGACGTTGAGTCACAATAAATGCGTCGAATTCGTACACGCGAATCGCGCGAGACTTCGGTCTATTATAGTAACCTTTACGGTGCATGTGCACAATCGGGCACCAACAATAATAGCAGCGACCGTGAGGTAACGATGACGGCAGGAGATAACGACGGTTTCGGTAACGCATAGCGCACGCGCTAACGCAATCGTGCAATCGGCCGCAATCATTTTGATGATTGCGAATCGTCAGCGATAACCGACGAAATGGAGATGATTGTCGTGTAGGCAGGTTCTCTAAGTAGATCGTCGTGTTTTCGCTCGCGGATACGTGATATACATCTGTGTCACTCGCGATATTTGTCACCGTGCTGTGGGCTCGCACAACAATATTTAACGACTTCTCTCTTACGATTGGATTATCGATCTCATTAATTAACTTTATTGTTGCATTCGATTTTGCATTCGCGCCGCGAAAGACTTGGCGCGCTACCTTTCCTCGCATATTTCCGGCACAAATTGCACACCCACGAAAATGTCTGTCTGCTGACGAAACGGAGCGGACTGGACCTAGAGTCAAGAAAGACGAGCGAAGAATTAAAACACATGTTTAAAAAATTGTGGCCAATAGCAATTCTCTTTGACACCGCAATTGGATTTTTCCGTTTCTCCGTAGATGATTTCAAGGTTACGTCAAGGAGGTGTGTATGTAGACCGGAAGTTCACAGCCACGTGTGTAAAGAGAGAAAACTTAGAGAAACGACGGAAGAGACGATAATAAAATTAATTGAGAATTTCGTGCCGAGCTTAAGTTGAACTTTGTCGTCGGCGATGACACAGCCGACGACATAGACGAAGAATCGCGAGCGGAGAATTTCGCAATTCCTCCCACTAACCGCCTCCCGCTAACTAATGTGGGAAAACGCCAAGGCTAATTGCACGGCGGTTGCAAACCGACTGTCGTATTATCGTCTATCTTGATGCAAGCGCTTGATTGAGCACGGGAAAAATGCATACGAGAGGTCTGTTACCGCCGTAACAGACGTTCTTCTCGTCCGCGTACGAGAAGATCGAGAACACAGATCGTCGGAATCTGTTTTCAGCTCGGTGTGTTTACGAGAAATCAAGTGGCGCACGCTATTTTTAAACTGTGCTTTGTACGTTTTCCCACAACGAAACATGCGCCACTCGGAAAGAAGCAGATGCAGGAAACGCATCGATTTTTTTTTGTTTCTCGTGGCGCTGAATTAATGCGTTCGATTATCAAGATTAATGACGATGTTTACGTATGCGCAAACTCACACTGGCGATAATGTGAATTTTTCTGACGATCGACATCGTCGCGTGTGAATGTGCGTTTGTTTGTTAAATTTGCGTAAAAAAATTTTGCCGCATTTTATTTTTATTTAATTAAGTTTTATTGCGACAACAAATTACTTTGTAAAGCGTTTAAATATATAAATTTAAAAGGCTCGATCAAATGTAATAATTCGTATATCATATGTTGTACAAAATATGAAAGCTGTGGCTGCACAATGCCGCGCTGTGCGTCAACATTGATAGTACAATCGCAATACAGGTAATATCTAATTCAAGGCAAAATCCTGTTGTTCTAAGCTTTTATAATCTTTCTATATAAATAAATAAATAAATATATATATATATATATATACACACATATATATATAGTCTATATATATATATAGACTCTCACAATTATCCGTTATTATACTTTGCGTTCGTGTTCGTCCGGTCGAGTTTCTGCGCGTGTGATTCGGCTCGATACGCGTCCATAAGGGAAGCTCACGTACGCACGTCATCAATAATGCGACGATGATTCGTGCGGACGCTTGAATTATTGACGGACCTCGATGAATGGGACGGATCACGATGGATCATGATTTTAATACCGTGCTTTGGTGACGGCGACTGCGAAAATCATACCAATCTGAAAATGAATTTCACCAGCGAGACGACTAAAGGCTCCTGTCACGCATGCGGTCGTGAAAAACATGGAATATTATCAATAAATAGCAAAGCGTAAAATGTGTCGTCAATAAACTATATATATTTATTACAAATTAAAAGACAATTAAAAATGTTTTGTATTCTAATAAAAGAAAATACTTTGAAATTTTATACACCAAAAAAATTGTATTCTTGTTTTGAGGAGAGAGAGATATATATCCCACTTACTTTAAGTATATTTTATACTAAAGTAGGCGCCAAGAAGAGTTTCTTATTTTAAAAGGAAAATCCTCTAAATAATAATATTGATAAGAATATATACTAATTAGAATATAAAAAGCCTCTATAGAAAAACATATATATCTCACTATCGAAAAAGATTATATTCTTAAATTAAAAATATATTCTTAATTTCAGAAGAATATCATCTAAAATCTTTAAGAAGATTTTTTAAGTATAAAATCTTCTACTTACAAGAATATAATTTTTTCGGTGTATGGAATATAAAATTAGGATCAATGTGAGAATCTAGTATTTTTTTTTTTTTTATCAAAATGTAAAAACTGTGAGCGCTAGATCGCACGATCATAGTTCACTGAAAATGCTCCCCGCTGGTATAGTCAAGGTTTGCGGTTTCAGCGGGAAAGCTATTTCTCATTCGAGAAACTGTTGATAACGCCGGTTTACTCCTTGTGGGGGCGTAATGCATAAACGCTTCCACGCATGAGCTCATGCACCTTGATTCGTAATAAATTGCTCCGGGGAGATGAGAATCCTTCGCGTTAATCTGCGCGCGCGAGTAGTCGGCGCATAATTAACGTTCATTCATGCCGCCACCTCCGCGATAGTACGAGCGATGGTTCGCGGAAAAGTGAGATCACACGCGTGTCCTGCGGAACGTTCTTTTAATCGCTAAGTTAGCGCGCGTCTAACGATCGCGCCGGTGCGTTTGAGCGATGATGACTCAAAATAAGACGCGCGCGTATCGAGACTCGAACATTGTGTCCGTGACTAACAAGGAAACAGTCAGAATTGTCTTTATGAGAATTTTGACGACCTTCGAATGCGTGTGCGATAATTTCGATCTACGTTCTTCTCGGTATTCGATATGCGAAACAATCTTTCGAGATACCATTACGTAAAATTTTCAAATCATCAAATGTCACTTAAAGGAAGCAACTGCGAGAGTTTTTGTGTTAATAATAGTTAATAAGCGGACTTCCCGGTGTCGCGCGCTTTCGCTCACAGTCAAACTTTCGACGCGCAAACACCGACGCGATGGAATCTTATCGCACCGTCTCTCGACGCGCGGTATGTCTGGATGCGCACCGTCTTCCGGTTTGCGCCGCTCTCGCGCGCATTCATTCATACGAATTAACGGGCCCTCGTAAATTGTAAGCGCGAGAGACGAGAGCGCAACGCGATGCGTCCGTCGCAATTAAGCGCGATTGTGCGCCGCCCAGAGAATTCGTCATCGCGAGCGCAATGAATTCGTGTCATGTCGGAAGATGTCACAGCCGGATTAGACCGCGAGCCGAATTGAGAGAATGACCGAACGCGCGCGCGCGCGCGCGCGGCTCCGTTGTCGTCTAGGCGCGCGCGACAAATTGATATTAACCGAGAAATTACCGCGTCGCTCGTCGTGTCTCGCTCTGTCTCGGAAACTTTTTTCTAGACCGTAAATTGAAGTTCGTCACGCGGACTCCGCGCGCTAAGTTTCCTAATCTGTATAAACAGCCAGCGGAATTTTCTCTTTTTGTTTCCGGAAGATAGGGTAGATAAATATAACGTGGGGTGTGTCACGTTGGCGTTACTGTCTTCGTTAATGCCTCAAGTTTTCTGTGATGAATTTAGAATGAATCTGTTCCCGGCACAAATTTGACGAGAGACACGTCGGCGTAGTTCTTATCAGAGAAAATTGAAGAGTAACAAGAAAATAACTTGCGCAGACAATTTCAAAGAGTTTATTCTAAGACGGAATTTTAGTTCAAAGATACAAGACGGAATGTTTTCAAAAAAAAAGTTGCGAGCGATAATTCTGTGCGTTAAAGTTTTATTACGTTTCTTTTTTTTTTTTTTCAGGAACACAACGAATCACGCGAAAAGCGATGACACAAACAGGAAAATATAAATTGAAGGTGAGAATGTAGAAGTGAGCATAATTTTAGAAAAATGATAAATGTGATGTCCGCGACATCACGGTGACAAAAATATCTTGGTAACTTGTATAAAAAAAATATCGTATCATCGCGTATATTTGCAACGGGTTATCGAAAGTCGCGTTTTTCTGTTTGACGTGTGATGTTTTTCACTTTGACGATCAGTTTATAAGTGTAACTGTAAAAATAGCAGACTCAGTTAATAATAACAAGTTTACGACGCAGCGTGTTAATGCACAGTTTATAAGTGAGAGAATGCTGTTGAATTATTTTAATTTATCTTGAGAGAAATTACATAGAGAAAATTGCAACGCAATTGTTGAATCAAGAAGGATGTTTAAATGTCGTAACTGCGCGACAATTGTGTGAGAAAAAGTTGTTTTCTCAAGTTACATATTTATTTGTTCGTGGGACGAACTGTATTTCGTTATTACACAGTAATATACATATTCTATTAGCGTTTACAAAACTCTAATTTACGCACATTTTAAAACATTTACGAAATGTTATTTATTCAAGGTGTTTAACTTACGTACGTTTTCATCGAAGTTAATTTTTTCATTAAGATTAATTATGTATCAATTTTGTCTGCAATTTTAAATATTTAATTTGCACCGAAATTCAAAAGCTGCGATACTGAAAGATAAATTACACCAACATTATAACAATAAAAAAATTTGTGTGAAGACACAATTTTTAAAACTCTGATAAAAAAAGAAAATTTGTTTAAACCTTTCTTCTCTCTTTCTCTTTAATAAAGTCATTGAATTTAGTAAACGTCACTGCACCCCTCCAATGTCAAAATCAAAATTTCAATATAGATATTAATTATTAAAATATTGCATTCGACTGACAATGTCACCAATGTTTTTGTTTAACATTACGACGACGTTTTTTATCATACCACCGAAGATCACGAGCATGCGAAATGTCATTCCGGACAGCAATTTTCACGAATCGGTACTCACGAATATCGAGTTGTAAATTTTGTCGTAGAAGGCGATGGGCGTCTTGAGGGCCGCCTCGGCGGACATTAACATTCCGTTGGGGTCAGTCTCGAGGGCGGAGGAACCTGGTCCCTCGTATTGGTACAGATCGTTTTTAGACAAGGCCGCGGCGAAGGGCGCAACGATCGGGGCCAGCGCGATTAGGGCCAGCAGGCCCGGCAGAACGCTCCAGCGTGATGCGTCACGAGCCATTCTCTCGGACTGCCTTAACGCTACTGCTGTTCGACTTGGCCACGACGTCTCTTCTTGCCGCCCCCTAATCGCTTTTGCCCGCCGCTTCTCCGCGACCGGCGCGACCGTCCGTCCGTTGTTCCGAACACATGAAACTCCACGCTCGCTTCCCGCGTTCGCTGATAATTTCGTGACACCGCTCCGGTTCCCCACCGTCGAACCACACGCGACTAATATGCAATCGAGTGCGTCTCTCGAACGAAGCGTCTCTCTCCAACTTCTCTCTCTTTCTCGTTTTCTCATTCGATGTCTATCTGACGAACCGCTCGTGCCGCACAATGACCACTTGGCGTGACGATGTGCAGATCTCCGGATCGGTTTGTGAATATAAATATAGTATGCTCAGAAGATCAGACTAATCAAAATTAGATAGATACTTTATTTTTCTGTTGTGACATATATATCACGGTGAATGATTTAATCTCTGCAACGCCTGTGAAGGAAAATCACTTTGAGAAGTTTAACAATTCCGGTTGAGTAATATCTGTGCGATCTTGACGAAGTCATTGGAGACGTAATTGTTAAGCGTTGCGTGTGAACGTTACAACTCATTATTTAAGCGCACACGTTTCGATTGAAGAGATTTCGAGCGAAGACATTAATATTTCATTTTCTGATCAGAAGACGAGTGAACTTCATGTCGAGTGAGAAGTTTCGTATATATTTGACTCTCTGAATGACGTGAACACGCAGAAAATGTTGCGCGAGATTTAAATGACACATTATTGCAAATAACACAATGAAAAAATAGTTTAAACATTATTAACTCATAATTATATAAAGACGCGAGATTGGGCATTTTCACGGTGAAGCATACGGCGTGCGCGATACATAAATCGCGCATACGCGGCGCTTACACAGGTATCATTCTCGCATTATAGCGCGCGGCGCATTTATGCCGCACATATTCTCTTCGCACGCGGCGTCGTCGTTGATTTAATTGTATCTGCGAACGATCCATTCAAATGCCAAGGTCTCCGCGATTATGCGCGAAACATATTGTAATCAGCGCGTGGATTTTAAGGATTTAATTGCGGACTATAATCGCATTTTATCACCGACTAGCATAATTGGGCTGCAAGGTTGCGCATCCCGCAGCTAAATTAGCCGACATTAGCCGACGCAATGATTTTCGAGCATTGTTTTGCATCGCGATAGCAAAATTGCGCGATTTGCATATCGAGTCAATTTACTTTTCAATTGTTTCAAAATTGTAAAACGTAGCGTGTTTCTCTTCTATTACTTTTTATATTTTTGTCACACAACTCGTTCTCTTTGATTTATTTAATTTCGATTTTTATTTAACAAAAAAAAACTAAAAAATTATATCAAACGCTTGAATCTCTCTGCCTTTTGTAAATGTTCTAATTTTGTTGGTTATGAAATAATTCAACACACACTGTTTGCAGCGACATTGCAGCCCAGCTTTTCTTGTATCGGCTAAAAAAGCAAATTGACGTTTATAAATTGCGGCAAGTTACGACGAAGCCGAACGTGTTTTTCACGTGTTGTGTTATTACGTGCTTTGTTCATCCGTCACATAATTTCTCCGAGATGGTTCGCGATTTATCTTGAACGTCGTGCCCGTTTTCTTCGCAAAGTCGCGTGCAGCGCGACTTCTCGCGTTGTGAAACAAAGCATCAAGCCAGTCAGTTAGACTAACGGAGGTGGACCTACATTCGTATATACGACGCCTAGAATTGCGTCGCAGTTTAAGAACGTCCCAATAAATTGTCTCAGGAATTCGTCAGGGTCGTTCTTCTTCCAGCGTTCGTTCGGTTTTGAACGAAGTACAAGCTTGTTTATTTTCGAAGTAGCTCAAACCGTTTGGAACGGAACAATTTTGTGTGGCGATCTGGTGATTCGTTGTACCCATTTCTCCCGTTACAACGTCGACAAAGCGATACTTTTGCTTGTAGCGTTTTATTGCAATTAAACGACAAGAAAAATTAATTGGATTATCTCTCTCGATGATGTGCTATAAAAAGAAAAATAAAATTTTGTAACAGGGGATAAGAGAAAACTTTTGAAAGAGAGATGCACGTTGTAAATTGATCTTTATTACAAGAAATTACATGACTAATTTGTACATATAAAATATAAATATGGTACAAGTACTATATGATACAGAAGACGCGTGTGTTTTTTTCCAGTGGAAAGTGGAAGTGGTAGGTCGCTAGTTACAATTAATAATTACTATCACTATAATTCGTTATTATTTGTTGTATTCACGGTAGACGGACTGACACGCTCTTGGCAAACGCTTTTCCTAAACTCAATGTTTTTTTTTTGAATTCGGACACGCGACGATATAAAGGTAAAATAAAACATCACATATTACATACACGAGAATGCGTTTTTTTTTTTTTTAACGTTTCACGCGATAAACTATAAAATAGTCGTCTTCCGCGATCATAACCGAGAGAAGACGAAAATAAAATTCGTCTCTCCGTGTAAATTAATTAATTCTCACGTTGGGAAGACTGTGTGTGGGCGAACGAAACGCTACGCTGTAATTTAATTACAATAATAATTATCGTATATAAGCCGATCGCGACAGTTCGAGTAATCGATTAGCGCGCTGTGGTCAATTTGCGAGTATAATCTTTCTCGCGCGACGAACGATCGGTTCAACAATTATATAATTTATACATATCGGACATTCGTTCTCGAACGAAAGGAACCGACGGAGATAAAGCAATGACACACCATTTCAAGCGGCGAACTCACGTCTCTTTGGTCGTCGATGAGTGAGACACAGAGAAACGAGCGTACAAGAACTATTGTTTTTTTTTAATAATCTAACGCGGGGGGGAGGGGGGAAGGGAGACACGAAGGAGTCACACTTGGTTTTCGTTTTACTTTCCACTCGTGGACGGGCGAGTCTGTCGAACGGCGACGACAATCTACGGCGCCGTTCTACGAGTCCGTGTGAAAATGACGCTCGTCGTCGTGCCTTTACCGACCCGCATTTACATCTCGGTTTTGTTTTAGAGCGTATAGCGGCGGCTATCTATCAAATGCGGCTACGTAATTTTCAGTCGGCAATAACACGTGAAAAGTTCGATCCTCTCACTCTTCGTTGCGTTAAGTCAATAAAAAGCATGCTCTCAGGTATATTAGACGCCCGCATTTAATGCTAATTGCGAAATGTAAATGCGGGTCGTGTGTGTGTGTGTCTGAGTATATATATATATATATATATATACATAACAATCAGTCGCGTGTTCGTGTTACTTCACGTACAAGTTTGCATTGTATGTGTGCGCTTATATATTCATATACATATACGTGTGTATCATGCATAAACGAACGTCAGGGTACAACAGTTCGGGACGAGAAAAACGGATGGTTTTCCATCGATATTGGCCGTCGGTCCACCACGACTCGCATTCAGAAAACTAGAATACCTCTATTTCTGCCTCGCATTACCCCCTACACCGATTTATTTTCATCCTACCTATTTTCATTCTTCCCGGCTTCATCCCCGCGCCTCTCCCGTGCTTTACATCCTCTATTCGCGTTCTCTCTATCTCTCTTTCTCTCTCTCACACACACTTTCACCTCACAAACATTCTTTCACGATGGAAACAAGAGTTCGGGCACGCAACTATCTTCCTTCGTCTTGTCGAGTTTCATTCGTACAAATCGTAAAAATCTCTCTCTTACGATTAGCAAAAAGTTTACAATTTATAGTTAATTCCATCTCTCTCTCTCTTTGCTTCTTATCTTTTTCGCGCGCGTTCTTTCTCGCACTCATTCCGTTCCTTTCTCTCTTTTCAACTTTCTCTCTCTCTCTTTCTCTCACACACTCCTTCGCGTTCTTCTAAGTGAGTTACAGAGCCCTACGAAGTGCGGTAACTGCTGATAACGATTAAAGCTACGATAATACCATGAATTAACGTGCGTGCATTAGATACATCATTACGTACGGCGCGTTTTTCGTTAACTTGATTGAACGTTTAATCGTATAAAAGGTTTTTTTTTTTTTGCACTTTTTTTGGCAGTGCGTTGCTCGCTCACTCGCGGCCCCAACTGTGGTTTCTCTCCTTATTTCGTTTGGCGTTTTCCCAAAATCGAAGCTCGAGTATTTTTTTTTTTTTCTTCCTTCGGTGAATAAATTTGCGTTTACTATCTCTACATAAATATATATCTCAACCTTCCCTCGTTACGAGTCATTTCCACATCGACAACCCCTAGTTAACTTAACGCCGCTTTAACAAGTCCTCTCGTCCCTCTCTGAATCATAGCCTCGGCAATAGACAGAGATAGAGAGGGAAAACTTTTGAATCAATTGTTTGTTAATGCCACTCGTGTATTGTGGCCGACCTCAATTATCGATATTGCGTAATCGACGTTCTCAAGACAATCGTGGTAATTGTTCGTGATCGGCTTTCTCGATTTTCACTCGACTGTCATTCAGTCCCGCGGTCGACTGTTTACTTCACGATCGACTTACGGTTTTACGAATATCGACGCGTGTCGTATTGTTTCTAAATTGAGATGAATATCTCTTAGTCTACCGCGACGGGTTCATCTGCTCGCTTTGTTGCATCGCTGTTTCCCGATGATGAATACGCGGTTTGGCCGACTGGCCGGCAGTCTTTAGGTCGGAAATCTCTCTCTCTCTCTCTCTCTTTCTCTCTCTTTTAATAGTTTGCTAATGGCATCAGTCATCACACAAGATGGCAGCGATATAATAATTCTAAATGGCTCTCTCTCTGACGAAGATTAAGACGGTAAAGAACAAAGCACCAACTCTCACGTTAATACCGATATAAACATTGCGCGAAATATTATTACATTTCTTTTCGAAATCGAGGCTCGTTTTTGCCACATATAACAATTGCGAGAATTACTTAACTTCGTCTTCGTTTGGTTTATCCTGAGAATTATCGTTGAAACTGAAGCAACCGCGAAATCTCTAAACCACGAATACTCTGTGTTTTTTCGGCTATATAACTCCGTTAGATAAAACTTCCATAAGACACATGCGTGTGTGCGTGTACGTGTGCGATATTTCGGTGAAAAAGTTTTAGTTTTTTTTTTTTTTTTTTTTTTTTTAAGTTCTTTCTTTTTAAAACTCGCGTTTTTTTTTTTTTTTTAATTTTGCTATATAGTATCGTTTTCGAGACTTAACAGTAGCGACGATGTACAATGACACGATGACGATACCGCAATATATCATTTTATAATAACTACTGGACGGAGTCGAGCGACATCGACGCCATAATTATCTCGGCTTTTAATTTATTTTTCTCGTCTCATTCGGCGACCTCGCTCGTCTCGTTTTCAACGATTAAATTCGTAGATAGGTGGGTGGGCGGGATCGGCGATCAACACGCGGTCGTGCGTGCTGATCTGAATTTACGTTAGGTGGTCTTAATCTCGGCCGATGCCAGTTGCTGAGGAGAACAAGAGTCGAAGCAGGTGACCAAGAGAACGTGGCTCTTACAGGCTTCCACTCTTTTTTGCAATATGCACGTCTCGGCCGTGAGAGCTTCCAAAAATGACGGATCTCGCCAGTCCATACTGTCCTCCACGTAAACTAGTTTTAGGACAAACACAATAAAAAACGCGACGATAAGTATCTCATCACTGATTAAGACTCGCTAATTTAACAACTGCAAAAAATACGTGCAAACTTTTTCAAATAAAAAATAATAATAACAGTAATGAAAGATTGTGATAAAATAGATGAGAAATAAGAAACTACGTTGAATGTAGCAAAGATAAAACTGTCGTATTTATCGCTTTAAGTAACCACAAATCACTTCAACAAAAATTTTAATTTAATTTAAGAAATCCTGAAGTGTAATAAAGAAATGTTTATACGTAGTTGTTGTTTCTTAAGATTTTTGCTTTATTTTACAAAAAAAAAAAAAAACTTACGATTGTAGTCCCAACGGGTGTCGGGCACCATGAGACGCTTCTTGGCGTTGCGCAGTTCCAGCCTAAGAAGGCGCTGGCGCAGGCGCAGGCTGAGTATCTTGGACATCGTTCCACGTGGGTTCGAGCGCACCCGTGCGCGCCTGTCCAGGATGTCTACGTCCTCGCCTGTGTACGCGAGAATCGCCGGCGCCACCGCGGGCGGCCCCGGCTGACCCCGGCAGTGGGCCAGTAACCGCCGAGGCCCGCACCCTACCGCCCGCCGTTCCACCGCTGAAACACCCGCACAACGTCGAAGTTAGAACTCCCAGCGCGCCACCTGAGGAGAATCACCGCACGGCGGGACTGTTTTTAGAGGGCTTGCGTGTCCTTCTCAAGAAGGATTCCGAGTAGTATCTTGTACATTCGATCGCGAATTCGAAAAAAATTCAATAGGTTTAGAGAAAAAATAAGCGGAATCAAAGCGGATAGATTCGGACAGAGCGATTGAACTAACAACGGCTGAGTAAATTTTCATTATAAGTATTTTTGTCAAACGCACGCCAATCCAAGAGTTCGGAAAAAAAGTTGATACTTTATTTCAAAATTTTACTTCTGAATTATTGTTGGCGAGAGAAATAAGATTTGAGAGTCGTCACAATAATTGCGCGCGCTTTTTTTTAAACACAAGCAGCCGATAGACGCTTGACAATTACCTTGATGTTCTTGTAACGCGCCGGTCTGTCTGGACGAGTCGCTGGCGATGCTGCTCGTTTCGCTGTCCCTAACGATACTGTCGTAACCAGAGCTCTCGGCGCGATGTCTAGACAACGTGGCCGGTGATAGCTTGGTCGCGCGTGGTGTTGTGTCCGCACCGGAATCGGAACCCTCCTTGTTCAGACCGAAAGTGGAACCGATGAGGATCTTGCGTTGCATTCGTCCGGAGGACGGAGCCGGAGATGGCATCGCTAACTGCATAGGTGTACCGCCTAAAATCAAAAAAGAAATACACAAACGTGTATTTAACAGAAATCATCGTTTCAAATAATTTCTTATACAAAAGCGACGAAAATGCGCCAAGCTGTAAATTAATTTGATATTTTATTACAAATGCAAATGTGTTTATTCGTAATAAATTTAAAATCCTAAAAACGCGCGCGCGCGCAATGCGTTAATCGATTCGTACCCTGAATTTTTAAATCCTCCTCGATGTCGGACTTTCCCGTTACCGTTCTCTCGGATCTCTCGGCAGCCGTGAACAACTTCTTCGCCTCTATGTACTCCTCCTCGGGATCCGAACCGGACGCTCCGTTGCCGGGTATCCTTTCGATCTCCTCCTTGAGATTGGGATTCGACGCTCCGTCCGGATGCCTGAGGCTGGAGATGTTGCAGTCGCCCAGTTTGCCGCAGTACCTTCTTGGACTTGCAAGATGAGCGACGCTGCTCGGGTACCAATAAGAAGCTGTGGCGGGTCTGGACATGCTCTGACGACAATTGTCGCAGATTTTTTCCTGATCGGGTTTGCCCGCTATATAAGCGGGCTCGCTGTAGATGCTGCCGTGATTGCTCGCGTTGTCGTTGAACAAGACGTCCGAAAGAGACAAGGATTGACAGCGAGATGGCGGACGGAAGGTGGTCGCTGCTGGAATTTGTCCTGCGTTAATGTTATGGATGTAGATCGTAGGATAGTTGGCTATATAGTGCCTCGATTAAAGTCTATTGATTATATATATTTGTTCGATAACGAATCTTCGATCAAATGTGACCGATCTTGATTTTTCCGTAATTTCATATTTTGAGTTTCGCAAGTTTATTATTTTGCCACTCCGCCAAGACGCAGATAAATTGTAAGAAGCGTCGTTCTTTTGGAAATAAAAATTTAAAAAAATCTTGCTTCCAACTAGTATCTTGCAAAATACACAACGATTGAATATATCCGAACCTCGCGAGCAAGACGTTAAAGCTCGTGTGTACGGATAGTGCGGATAATCCCGACGAGAGTGTGACAAGCAACGTCCGTCTGCGAGAGAATTCGATATCACGAACGGTAAAAGTAATCTGTCTATTTCTTTTCTTTCTTTTTGTTTTCATACGACTGACCGAGCATCCCGACCCTCGCGAAAACCCCCTGTTAAAACTTACATGGAGCGTCTCGCACGTTGACAGTGGAGGAGTTTTCTCTCTGGTAAGTCACAGAATTGGAGACGTTGGCGAGCGCGAGTTTGCTTTGGTAGAGCTCGTGAAGTCTGGCCAACTGATCGAACTTGTGCCTGGTCTCCTGCTCGAGAAAGTCTTCGTGGTCGAAGTACGGCCTCGGTAAAACACCCGCGCCAACCGGCGGCGGATAATGCGGTCTGTATCTCTCTGTGTCCGACATCACCGACATGGAGTCTGGAAATGATTTCTCTGTCTCATACGTTTCGCTCGTCTAAGTTTATATCTCAACGTGCAAAAGAAACCGTCCGGTGGACAAAGCGAAAACGGGAAGGGGGAGGAGAGAGAGAGAGAAAATGGCGAAACTAGCGGGCAGCTGTCCGCCTTGGTTCGAAAGAGGGACGCAATGACACGTAATTACATCGGTGTTTCTCTTTTTTCGAGGAAAAAAAAATTATTGTCTCTTGCTGCGCAATGCGGCCTATTGCGCGTTCTTTTAGGGCCGAAAAGTTGATTAAAAAAAAAACGACGCGAAGAATAGTTTTTGCAAAAGTTTTCGCTCGCTAAGTTTATTCGCGACAAAAAATAATCACAAAATGAAATCAAAATTGAATGCGATTAGAAAAACGGTCTTCGTCAATTAAAAATCATATAAAAATCGATTATTTAGGAAAAGTAACAAATTTTTTGATTTTATTTAGAAGACGCAAATTTGACTCACCTGTGAAAGTTGACACTACGGTGAGATTTTCCTGGCTAAGAATCCTTAAAGGATGTTCTTCCTGATCGCTCTCGGGCAGAGGATTCTCACCCATGCAGAGTGCGATGTCCTCCTCGGTCACCTGCAGACACGAGTCCTGCATAGGTACCGGCTCCAAGTCTTCCACTTCGACGATCTCCAGAATTTCGTCTTCGGAAGACAACGAATGTCTCGACGGAAGAACGATATCCTTGTGCGATAGATTGAGACTTTCCATGGAAACCTCTCTGCTTACTCCATTGCTGAGCGGTTCAATCAGCGGCAACGGTGGCGGCACGACAATTTCTTCGTCGTCATCTTCGTCGTCCGGCAAATCGAGTTTTCCCTTATCGACGCTGTCGTCCATCACCGGACTGGCCGTTAAATCCAATCCCGAATCCGTGTTGGACTTGACGTTGAGTAGATTCAACTTGGCGCTCAGCTTCTCGGTTATATCTTCGATCTCGTTCGCCTTCAAGCTGTCGCTTTCCGCGGTTGATAACGACGTGTCGTCGTCTTCAATGCCGCTGCAAGTCTTGAACTGCGTCAACTCCTTGAACTGACCGGACGATTGGCCGGAAGACGTCATCTTCGAAGACTCGAGCCGCGGCGCGGCATGTTTCGCCCTTTGTATTTGCGACGATTGATTCTCCACCCACTTCCTAATCATGCTCTTCTTGTGACTGTCCATGAAACCGTAACCGGAGGTCGCGTGCTGATGCTGAGTGTGAAGCTGCAGCAACGGCGCGCCGGTCAACTGCATCGGTCCGTCCACCCAAGTCTCTCGCTTGTGGTGAGGATCTTTCAGCAAGTGCCTGGCTTCCGCGACTTTCGACTTGGAAATCCTCGGACCGTCGATCCACTGCTCGTCGGACGCGCCGCTAGGCGCGGCCACTGGAATTTTGCTACTCGGCGAATCGTTCACTTTGGACGTCGATGCGCTCTTGGACGAGTTCTTTCTGGCCGGGCTCGCTTTTGGGGTCGCGCTGTGCGCCGGCGAGGTCTGCTTCGACGCGGTTTGCGTCAGCGTCTTCACCGTCTTCGAGGATTTGTGAGCCGGACTGCGTTCCTCCGAAGACTTGCAGGGTTTCTCAGCGGCTGAGCCGCGAAGCACTCTGCCCATTGCGCAACGATTGTCGCCCGAGTTCAAACTCGGTATGTAAACGGGCGGATGTTCGCCGTCGGTTGCGTCATCGGCGCTCGGTCCCACGTAGATGACTGTGTCGGCCGACAAATCGCTCGAACTCGGATCGCACTCGCTGTTCTGTCGCGCCGCTTCCTCGCCGGAACTTCCGCCGCTTCCCGCCCCGTGCGTCCCGCTTCCGACCATCTTGCCGACTTTTCGACGTCGCATCCGATGGATCCTAGACGCCACTTGAACGGTGGTGAGCGTTTCCGTGTAGTGCTGAGCGTTGGGTGACACATGAGCTATCACAGCCGCGTGGCAGGTCAGAGAACCGAGACATTCTTTCAACAGTTGGGTGAGTTTGTGCTCTTTGTACGGTAAGTGTTTCTGACCGTTGAAGATCGCGAGTATAATGTTGCCGAGACCGGAAAGAGGTATTCCGCCCGAGGACTTGCCGCGGTCTGAGTTTCCAAGGTCCATCAAGTGCAGCCGACTTCTACCGCCCGCAACTACACACAGAGTCAAGAAACAACGTTCGTTCTGCTTAAATGCGCAATACAAAGCGGAAGGAAAATAGAAGCGAGTGCCGCTTAAAAGCAAACAAGTATATATATATATATATGTATATATCAGCGTTAAAAAAATACCAAGTTAAGTTTCTCTTCCGTAAAATATTTTTGTTTTCGCTTTCGAGAAAGCAGAAAACCGCAGCACAGTGATTTAGAGATTCGCACAAGACAGGATTTATTTACCTCCACCTTTTCCGGCTACGCTGTACTGATACACGTGCAGCGTGTACAGCATGTGAGCGTCGCCGTCCTCTCGTTGTCGACCGGCGACCGCCGCGTCGAGGTAGAAAGCCGCTCGTTCAGCCGTGGGCGCGCGAAGCTCGCTGTGCTGCTGCAATTGAAGGGTACCAAACAGCGGATCGTCTCTGAGATACACGGCCGGCGATTGTTCCGAGTCTGGGAATAATAAAAGAATCGTCGGTATTACGCAATGCTGTTTAGCATATCTCGTCGTGTAGCGCATCGTGGAATAAACGCAATACAGAAAATACGTTTCTGTATTGTTTCTTACGTAACAGTGTGTTTTACATCTGTCGGGAACAGAATTTATTTTCGCAGATTTATTTTTAGTTTAAAATACAAAGATAATTTTTTTAATTGTTTTTTATTAACAATATTACAAGAATGTTTGTTTCGTATTTGTTATAAGAAAAGACTGTAAATCAGATTTTTTCTCAGCTTTTTCACCGCGCGTACAGAATTTCATCGCGGAGCTCCGCGCGGAGAAGTTCCTTCCCTCCTCCCCCGAAAAATTCCCCCGTTTATTTGATTCCATTATTTCGCGGAAAAATAATATCCGCCGAGAGAACAAAACGAAAAGAATCGAGATGCAGGTGCGCACTACCCGGTGCCATAAATCGGTCGAAGCCGGGCTCGAGATATCCGCGGGACGCCTCGTTCTGAGTTACGACGTCGATAAAACGTCGGAAGATATGTCGCGAGAAATATCTACGGTATCGCGCTTTATCACGCGTTCCGCGTATTCGCGACGATCGGTCGGTCGCGAGAATCCACGTGGAGAATAATCAACGTAATGCGAAACGCGAGGCTGTAAATAGTGATCAGCGTAAAAGGGCAATTACGAAGGGCGACACGGAATATGGGCGCGTGAATCAGCCGAAGCAATCGTCGTATTGTCGTCGTTGCTTCGCCCTGCAAATAAAGCAACCTGGTCGTAAAAGAGTGGACGAGGAAGAGGCAGTTACGAGAAAAGTTTATTCGGATAAAGGGGTTTCACGGAGATCACGAAGAAAGCTCTGTCGGCTATCAATTATGTCAGATTGAAAACGAAAGATTGACAAACGTCACGATTGCGTGAGATGTTAAGTAAAAATGAATCTCACGCAGATACATGTAACTGTAAAAGAACAAATATGGGACAAATATCAATAGAAGCACGTCTTGACGATTAGTGTAGAAAGTATTTTCTATGTGTGTGTTTTTTTCATCTTTAGTCGCAAACTATAAAAAGAACATTGTGTAAAAGTGGCTACAAAGATAAAAAAGAAAAAAATAAATT